GAAATAATACTAAAATACTAATAAATATAACTAATAAAAATATAATGTAAATTATGCTAAAATCTATCCTATAACAACATAAATCACAAAAGCTCATTTATAAAAAAAATACAGCATTCTTTACAATCACTATATTAAGCTTTTTTAATTGTTTTTTTTTTATGTCGTCTGTTACAAGTATGTGTATTATGACCTTTTTTACTATACTTTTTGCAGGTAATTTGATCTTCTAGTGCAATTTCTCCATAACTACGTAAATGAATTTTTCATGGTCATCCAGCTTGTCTGATTGTTGCTAGTAGTAATGTTTGGTTATCAGAAAGACACATTTTTATATTCACAGGTTTTACAGACTCTTTATAAACATTTTGAAGAGTAGCAGTATAGTATGTAAAATGTGTAAATTGTGATGGCTGTTGGTGAGTTTTGAGTATAGTGGCACAAGCATAGATACAAGGAAATCAGTATTGTTGAAATTGTTGACAAGTGCAGGTTAATGAGGCAAGATTCACAACACGAAAGTTGCTGTCATTACTCTTTACTTCAAAAACTGATTTATTAGTTTGATACACCATTCTGTTGTAACATTTGTCAATAACAGATTGAAGTTGTCGAGTAGTAGTTAGTGATAAAATTGTCTTTACTGAGGAATATGTTATGTGGCAATTGTAATAGAGTGTGTTGACATTATGTATAAGCAAAATAATTGCTTCAAACAGTTCTGTAAGATATTCATCATGTAACCAAGAATTAAATGATTCTGATACATTAGAAGTGAGATGTCTAAATCTATTTCGAGGACATTTACAAAGAGTCTATATCTCAGGAGGTATCTCATTAAGATAAACTGCAGCTTCAGTATGCATATCAGAAATTTCTTCTATAACTTCGTTAAAACCTTTTACATGCAATGATTTTGTTACAGCCCAAATTTTGCTTTCAAGTTTTATTCAAAATTTTGTGTTAATGTTTTTCTCAATATGCTATATGCAATATGTATAAAAAGCATTAGGAAGTTTCATTTTTACTGTATCTGCAATACCCTAAAATAAATGTTATTCCATTATAGCACTAAGCAAAGCTTTAAATCATTTAAATACTATAATAAAATACCTTTTAACGATTACTTATAATTATGGATTTGTTTGAATTCATTAGTAGAAGAGCTTTATACAGGTTTTTACAAAACCAAATCCAACTATCTGAATTTTCAACAGAGGCAATAGCGAATGCTATAGGAACAAGTTTTCCTTCACCTTCAATTGCATTTGCACAAAAATATACACCCCTATAGCTTGATTTTGAATAGCATGCATCAAGAGTATATACAGTTCTACAATATTCAGCAGCCTTACCCCATGGTCATAGACAAAGAAATGCATAAGAAAATTAATTTTTAGCATCAGTCTCAAATGAAAAAATATTTCCAAGATTTGCTGTAAGTAAATTATCAAGTAATGGCTTTATATATTGATAACCTTTGTCTATTTCTTCTGCTTTACATTTTTTATTAGCAATTAGACTTCTCCATGCTGCCATATATGACGTTTTAACTCCTGCTTCTGAACGAATATGGTTCACTATATCATGAGATCTAAGTGCAGCAATATCTTCAATTAATGGCGCAGAAAACTTTGTAAGGTATGATCCACGTGCTTTAAATGTCTGTGTAAATGTTAGACAATTTTCATCATGTTGAACTAATTTCACAATATAAATGTAACCATCTTTACGTTTGTTAGCAGAAATAGTAAATGGGCATGTACTAATATTGACCATAAGACAAACAACAAGGAGCTTTTTTGGTCTATTAGTTTTGAACTTATAGGGTGAAGAAGTTTCAACAGAGTATCTATCCAGAGCAGATCGGACACTTTCTATATTAGTAAATGTCTTTCCAACTTGCAGTATTGTACTTAACATAGCGATAATAAATTGTTGTAAAAATAAAAGCAAAAGATGACTTTAATTAGGTTAAAAGATAAAAAAAAGTTTAATCGATTAAACAAAATTTATATTTATACAAAATCATTAAATTACGTTTAATGATTCATTTTTCATGCACGCAAATTTTCGGGGACCTGATTTGTAATAATTTTTAAAATTTGGGTCCCGATGCATAATTATTTTTAATTCGGGTCCTGATCTGTAATTATTTTAATTTTTTGGGACCTTATTTGTAAATTCCCCAAAAATTTTTGCTATTAGCTTTACGATATATACAATTATAAAAATTACATCAGTTTGCAATCATTAATATTCCAATTGCGTCAATTTGCGATCATTAATATTCTTCTATCGGTGTTTAAATTATTAGTAATTGTCGCATTCTTTTTATTATATTATTATTACATGATGTTGTAAATAATATAATAAAAGGATGCGACAATTACTCATGAATAATTTTACAATACTGTATTTTTAACAATTGCCAAAATTATTAAATATTATTAACTTTATTAACTAATTATTAATTTTTTTATTATTAACTAAGAACTCGTTGGTCCCATCACTAGTTATATGTAAAGAATTTTTATATTGGAAACGATAACTTACCTTTCAACGAAATAACGAAATTAAAGTTCAATAGTTAAAAGCTGGAGTATTAAGTAAATTTTCAATTAAATTAGAATGTACTGTAAGTTTGTCACAAAATACCATTACTCCGGATCCAAAGCACCGCAGTCAACCTGTGCAACTTCTTATATCTAGGGACTAACGAAGAAATCTGTTTACAAAATCAAACTCAAGTAAGAAAGAATAATTTTTTAAGCATTAAATCTTTTTGTTAGTTGTTTTGAGCAAGTGTAGATTTAAAATATTTTTCAAATACATTTTTTATCACAAAAACCAAGAAACGTGATTTGGCATGAGAAATAGAAAGTTATTGCCTCCCTCTTAATTAATTTTACCAGTGCTAATTTAGTTGGTATTTATGTTTTGTTTAGTTTTCAGAGTTCAAAACTGATATGTGATAATTCGTAAGTATAAGTTAACTAAATATACAAGTTGCATAGTTTTCACAATGACAAGAGGAGAGATAAAGTGATGGCAGAAAAAATTCGCGATCAGGTGATTGCAGACGTTTCTGACCTACTGGAGATACTCGCGATCGGAAGGATAATCTATAACCTCGGTTTTTGTGTTACGTTCTATTTTAGTGCTTAGCTCGTACTAATAACATCGAAAGGGTTCGAAAAAGCCGGAGATCACCTGATCGCAAATTTTTTCTGCTATCACTTTGTTATCTCAAGAGGAGCAATGTCCATATGTGCTTTCGTAGTAAGAAATATTCATTACAAATGAGATACAAAAGTTTTTACCTACAATAATATCAATCTGTATTTATTAAAGGCGATTTAATTCAAGCAGCTATTTCTTTAACCAAATATATCATTATTTAATTGTTTTTAATCATTAGTTGATGCTTATTAGATATCTATTATTTCTGAATTTGAAATATTTCATATTCCTCTACACAAAAGCAGCTATCTACGTTTCTAATTGCTTTTTCGTATAAATAATGATCACAATAACATTGATTCTCTAGATTAGAATTATCTCCCATACAAATATCACCATCACCGAACCATGGACCACATGTAGAATCATAATAAATTGCATATTGTGAATCTGCATTTTTTATGCGACTTAAAATAGAGGATTGAATATTACCATTTTTCAATGAAAAAATAAAGCTATCATTGCAACTCACATAATCTTCAATTGATTTATCCCATGCAATAGGATTATAACCACCAAGAATTTCATCAGTTCCTTTAACCTTCATTACTACAACGGTGTTTGTTTGCTTGTCACATAAATTCCAAAATGATTGTGCAGTAAAACCATCTCTTGTTCCACGAAGAAGCAGTTTAAACTTATATGGATTATTCGTTACAGAATATTCTTCAGTTTTATTATCAACCCACGATGCAATTTCTGCTTCATGAACTTCATTAATAACTTTTGAGTGAAATGGTTCGGTTATTCTGGGTGGAAGAATTGTTGATGTTATTTGCCTATCTGGAGCAATAAACCTTAATTTTATATCATCCCAAAGATTTTTTTCAAGGATTTTTTTGTAAGGTTTCACTTTATCAATAATATCATTATTTGTTATTTGAAAATAGCGAATAAGGGGTAAACAATTCTGTAGTATAGTCTTTAATGTTTGAAAATTTTCATGAGACCAGTCTTTAGAATCGGATGGTAAATCTGTACTTTGAGCAATTCCCCATCTGATAACATGTTCCCAAATTTTCCCTTCTTCCATTTGTAAATAATCTTGTTTAATAAGTGAAATTAATGCATTTTCTGGAAGAGAAGCGAAATTTTCTGATTCAAAAATTTTATCCGGGTACTTTATTAAAATTTCATTGCTCCATTTTTGTAATTCTTGAAGATTTTCATTTTGGAAACTTTCATAATAAATACGTTCAACATGTAAACGAAGCCAGTGTGCATGGTCTTTAATTAAATGAGCTTCAAGATATTTTGTCAATTCGTCAAGAAGAAATTCAGAAGCAACAAGCATGAGTTCAAAAATAAATGATGCGTCTTGATTTTCTAACAAAACAACTCCTCCGTAAATATATCTTTATAAATTAATAAATTTGATAATTCAATATTAGTTTTCAATCATATATTACATATTAAAAATACATAACTTACTTAATGATTATTTCAAATTGCTGAATAGAAATATGGGTTAAATTAATCGTTTTAATATTATTTTTATCTTTGGTAATTTTCTCTAATTCATTACGAAAATATAAAGATCTATATTTTAAAATATTTGTGTGTGCTTGGAATGTCTTAGTATTCTGTGATTCTCTAACATTAATAATTACATTAAAATCTTCTTTGTCATCAAGAAGTTCAAGGCAATCATTTGAAAGCTT